ACTCTATCTCTTAAAAGTGTCACTCCAAGGTATACATATTTCCAAAACAATACACATTAGCAGAGGGAACAGTGGAACTACCATTTCCCCATGCTGTGGAGTAAAAATAAGGTTTAGATTTTCGCATCACTTTTAGCAACCCGATTCTCCTGACATACACCAAACTGTGGACACCTGAAATCCCAGGCATATTTAACATGAAGTTAATCATAACATTTGAGTATTTTTCACATTAATTGCTGCACTTAATTACTAATTCCTCCTCATGCTCTTCATGTGCGTATGTAATTTTTATTCAAAAACAGTTTTAGGACTCTACCACTTAGCCTTGTTAAAGTTCATTGTGCCTCCCACTGTCCTTTTGATCTTTGCTTACAAGGAACTATCGGAGTTACAGGAAACCAGTACACTCTTACTTAAAATTCCTAAGTATAAAAATGCTTTGTACACCATACACAAAAATAAATTCAAGGTGGATAAGAGACTTAAATATAAATTTAGACACCAAAGAACTCCTAGAGGAAACATTGGCAGGAAAATCTCAGACATCCCATGCAGCAACATCTTCATGGATATATCCCCTAAAGCAAGGGATATAAAGGAAAGAATAAACAAATGGGACCTCATCAAATTAAAAAGCTTCTGCATGTCTAAAGAAAACAGCAGTAAAATGAAAAGAGAACCAACTACTTGGGAAAACATATTTGCCTCAGACAAGGGTTTGATCTCCAAAATATATAAAGGAACTCACACGACTCTACTCCAGGAAGACAAAAAACCCAATTAAAAAATGGGCAAAAGACTTGAACAGACACTTCTCCAAGGAGGACAAACAGAGGGCCCAGGAACACATGAAAAGATGCTCAGCATCACTAGCCATCAGAGAAATGCAAATTAAAACCGCAATGAGATACCATCGCACACGGGTCAGAATGGTCAACATAAACAAATCAACAAACAAGTGTTGGAGAGGATACAGAAAAAGGGAACCCTAGTGTGCTGTTGGTGGGAATGCAGACTGGTACAGCTACTGTGGAAAACAGTATGGAATTTCCTCAGAAAACTTAAAAGTGGAACTGCCTTTTGACCCAGCAATTCCACTGCTGGGACTATACCCTAAGAGCCCTGAAACACCAATGCAAAAGAGCCTATGCACCCCAATGTTCATAGCAGCACAATTTACAATAGCCAAGTACTGAAAGCAACCTAAGTGCCCATCAGCAAATGAGTGGGTAGAAAAACTATGGTACATTTATACAATGGAATTCTACACAGCAGAGAGAAAGAAGGAGCTCCTATCCTTTGCTACAGCATGGATGGACCTGGAGAGCATTATGCTAAGTGAAATAAGCCAGGAGGTGAGAGACAAATACCATATGATCTCACCTTTAACTGGAACATAATCAACAAAAGAAAAAAGCAAACAAAATATAACCAGAGTCACTGAAATTAAGAACAATCTAACAATAGCCAGATGGGACAGTGGGGAGAAGGGTTTTCAGGAACTACTATAAAGGACACATGGACAAAACTAAGGGGGAGGGTGGAAGCAAGGGAGGGAGGTGGGTTTGAAGGGGGTGGGGGTAGGGGTGGGGAAAAAATACAGACAACTGTAAATGAACAGCAATAAAATAATTAAAATAAAAAAATTAAAAAATGCTTTGTAAATTGTCAAGTGTTATGCTTGTCCACTTCATAGGCACCTCATACACTTAACTAACTTTCCCTGCATTTCTCCTTCTGTGTTCTATAATTCAGTTAAGTAGTACCACTATCAATCCAGTTATCTGGATTGATGAACCCTACTCAGTCAACCCCCATATCTCATGTCATGTCCTTTTTACCTCCTACATAGGACTGAAATGAATCCAGTATCTCCATTCTCAATACCACTACCTTAGTAATGAAGGCATTTGCCTCCTTAAGGAGTCTCTCTGTTTCCAGTTTCACCATCTTCCAGTTTGAAGCATTTAGTTTATTCTTAGATGAAGAAAGGATAATATATCTGAGTTCCTTCTTTAAATGCTTGGTATCTAGAATTGAAAGCTAAATGAAAGGTCTTAAATGTATCTGCTTTGAGTCACAATGAACTTACTGTTCTGAAGTTCCTAAAAAATCAGGAGAAAAAGGTAAGAACTCTTTTTAAACTCTAATGAAACTATTTTTTTTTTTTTTGGTATAAGAAGATTCTGGGAAGATAGTGGAGTAGCAAGTACCAAGAATCTGTTCCACCATCTAGACAACAACTGTACTAGCAAAATCTACATGATCTAACTATTTTAGAATTCCAGAGTCTATTCCAAGACTTAAAACTTCCAGGGCAAGGCTTGGTCTGTAAATTTTGATTACTTTTAGCTTTTAGCCTGACAATGACTACCCATCCTCCACCCTCAGTCCTGTGCCAGGAATCTGTGCATTACTTCCAGGAGCAGCTTATGGTAGCCAAGTGGGCAATAAGGACCCTGTCATGAGAGGTATGTGTTCTGACAGCTGACTGCTGCTTTGAACCACTAAGGTGCTGACATGGAGGCAGGCAGCCATTGCTGAACACACACGCCCAACTGTATAAGCCCCTTTCCCTTGGATTAAAGGGGATCTAAAGGGCTGGCACATTTTTTTCCATCCCCCCTCCCTTTCATTTTTCTCTTTTCCTCTTTTGGGAGCCAGGCATTAAAGAAGTAAGAACAGGGAAATTTAGGAAGTCACCACACATACAAAGGAAAAGACTCAAGTTTAGAAAAGACTGAGGAGAGATTAAGTTTATACTTCAGGGTAATTCCTGGCACAAAGACAGCCTATAACACTCAAAAACGAGAAAGCAAAAAACAAACAAACAAACAAACAAACAACAAACCCTGGGGAAGAGGAAGAATGTGATTTTCAGATTTACCACATTATTAGATTCCAACATCTAGTTTTTAATAACAAAAAATCACAAGGAATACAAAGAAAAAAGAAAATATGGTCCATTCAAAGGAAAAGAAACCAACAGTAACTATCCCAGAGAAAGACCAGATGACAAACATACTATACAAAAACTTTAAATAAACATCTTAAAGATGCTCAAATAATGAAAAGATGTGAAGAGAGTAAAGGAAAAATGTATAAAAAATGAGAGTATCTATAGGAATAGAAAACCTAAAAAGAACTAAAAGGTAATTCTGGAGTTGAAAAGTACATAACAAAAATAAAAAATTCACCAGAGGGATTCAAAGGCAGATTTGAACAAAGAGATGGAATAGGTGAACATGAAGTTTATCAAGCCTAAGGAACACAAAGAAAAAAGACTAAAGAAAAGTAAGTATAGAGTAAAGCACATTTAAGATAACAGCACAAAAACCCAATATACGCACTATGGGAGTGCCAGGAGAAGAGAGATTAAAGGGGCTAAGAGATTATTTGAAGAAATAATGGCTGAAAATGGCCCAAATGAAGGACACAAATATAAACATCTAAGCTCAACAAATTCCAAGTAGGATAAATTCAGAGACCCATACTGAAAAACATGATAATGAAAATGTTTAAAGACAGACAGAATCTTAAAAGCAGCAGCAAGACAGAAATGAATCATCACAAACAAGGAATCCTCAACAAGATTATCAGCAGATTTCTCACCAGACCTTGAAGTCTAGACAATATATTCTAAATACTCATAAAAAGCATAAATGTATTAATGTTTTTTTAATTTTCTATATTTTATGATGCTTTTACATAGCAGGCCCCTTTGCACCCAGGGTTACCTAATTCCTAGAGAAAGTAAACAACTTGTCTGAGAACTTATCTTTGATATACAACCAAGTAATTAAGAGCTCATATTCCCCCTGTACTAAATCACCTCAAAGCCAGGTACTAGCCAGCTAGAGACCACCCCTATTACCCAGAACTGTAAATTACTCAAACTATCTAATTCTAAACTTGCTCAAGCTTGCTCAGTGGTAGGACCTGCCTCATCCATTCCTTTCCACAGAAACCGCAATAAAGGTTCTAGCCCATGCTCTCACCTTGCGCCTTCTACCTCCTGATCACCTTGGTGCTTTCCACATGGCCCAGCAGGGCATGCTGTGCCTCCTGCTTCTAGAGCACTATCAGTAAAAATGTCTTACTTCATCACCCCAATCAATTCAATTAAAAAAAAAAAAAACTTCCTTCAGTATTCCGTGTCTGTGTGTCTTTACCTGATTAAAACATATCCTGGGTACATTTCATAACAATAGGGGAAATAAAAGGCAGAAATTAATAAAATGAAATATCATAAAAAATATCCCAAAGAAGGGAAGGGTTTCTTAAACTTAAGAACCAAAAAGCATAATCTATAGAGGAAAAATTTAATAAATATAATAAAGATTGACAAATGAGTACATTAAATCCTCTTCTTAAAATCAGTTATGAGATATAATTCACATACAAAATTCAATGATTTTAAATGTATAAGAGTCTTTACAAATGTATAAAGTTGTATAACTCAAAACACAATCAAGATCTAAGTAATTTTCATCACCCCCAAAAGTTACCTTGTGACCCTTTACAGTCAATCCTCTCCCTGATGCCAACTATTAACTATTGATGGGCTTTCTTGTCACTAGACAGTTTGCCTTTTATTGAATTCCTTATAAATGGAATCATATACTTGACTATGCTAAAATTTAAAACTTCTATTAATCAAATATCCTATTATCAAAGACATCATTAATTTACTTTAGAACATTATAATTAAAAAAGCCTTACTAAAGGGGCAAAACTCTGGTAAGGTCAGGATCACTGCAAAATACAAATAGCAACTTATCAGACATAGAGTTGAGCAGGTGGCAAAATGGGTCTGGGCCTCTTACATTCTGGGAGGAAGCAGAATTTACACTTACTCTAGAAATAGAATGGCCTTACCTGCCCCAAGTGTCCTACATTTACAGTACCTCTGCTCAGCACCACCAAAATGAGATCCATCTTAACATCACCTTAAACCAAAGAACTCATTTAACAGTGAAGGAGAAATACAGGCATACCTTGGAGATACTGTGGGTTCAGTTCCAGACCAATGAAATAAAGTAAATACTGAAATTAAGTAAGTCATAACCTTTTTGTTGGTGGAGGGTCTTGCCTTCAACTTTCAAAACAAAACAAAACACGCAACATCTGTAAAGCACAATAAAACAAAGTGTATCTTTAATAATAAACATTTGATCAGGCCATTCCACAGATCACATCACCAGGAAACTGACAGACTAACAGATTGTTGGAATGGCATATTATTTATTTTTTATATTTTTATTCTTGTTTATTCTATTACTATGCAGCAGAAAGAAAGAGGAAGGAATTCCTACACTTTGTGACAGCACAGATGGAACTGGAGACTATTATGCTATTTTGCTAAGTGAAATAAGCCAGATGGTGAAAGGCAGATACCATATGACCTCTCATATTATTTATTTTGAGAGAGAGAGGAAGGGACAGAGAAAGAGAGGTAGAGGAACATCAATGTGTGAGAGAAACCAATCAGTTGCCTACTGGGGACCTGGCCAGACACCCAGTAGGGTTGTGTGCCCTGATCGGCTCAACTAAAAAGTCACCCTGTTGGTCTTTCAGGATATGGTATATACACTGAACCAAGGGCTATGGTGTTATGTCCCTAATATCTAGAATGCAGGAATCCAGAAAGCAAGGGGTAAAGTTGAACTGACTCTTTTCACTATCAATCCCAGTAACTCATTTGTGAAATGTGGGCTTCTCATCCCCACAATTTAAAACCTCTCCTATATTAGAGGTCCTGAGGGTAATACTTTCACAAGAGGACATAGTAAGGATTTCATTGAGCCTAAAAGTTACGCGTACTATTTGGGCACTTTTGAGCTTCTCATGCTCACAGACTACCAAAGACAGGAATAACTACACTAGCAGTAATAATTAATGCTAACTATCATTAGGAGGTGTTGTACACAGTGTGGGTATGGAATAGTCTGTCTGGAGCTCATGGTGTTTCCATGCTTGGGCTACAGTAAAAAAGAAATTGCAGCAACCATGGCCCAAAAAAGGTAAGGCAACTAAGGGTTCAAATCCCTCAAGAATGAAATTCTAGAAGTTATGAGCAGCCTAAAGCAGCTGATATACTGACCCAGCATGAGGGGAACCTAGAATGGGTGTTCATGAAAGAAGGAAATGATGAATATTAATTCCTGCTTCAACAATACTTGTACAAGCAGGTAGCACTAGCTTATACCACTAATCCTTCTTAAATTTCTGTTGTAGAGATTGCAGTGACTCAGTGATGGATTAGAAATCAATGTAGGGTCGAAACAGATCTGAGCAGAGTCAGAGGTAAATTTGTGGTATTTTGATACACAGCAGTAGGAAACTAATACAACAAGAATCAAAGGAGAGGCCAAACAGCATGAAGATGAAGAATAAGAAATTTCCGATAAGAGCCTACCCCTTATTATTGGCTTCTCCTCTGATTCTAGTTGCATTAGTTTCCTACTGCTGTGTAACAAACTGCCACAAATTTAGTGCCTTAAAACAAATTTAACTGTAACTGGAAAATAAATTAATTAAAAAAAAAACACAAATTTGTTATCTTCAAGTTCTGGAGATAAGGCCAAAACAAGTTTTACAGAGCTAAAATCAAAGTCTGCATTCCCACAGAAGGCTCTATGTCTAACTCCTTAGCTTCTAGCCATATCACCATGACCTCTGCTTACATCGCCACTTCTACTTCTTGGACTTACACTCCTGCTTCCCTCTTATAAGACTCCTTCTGATTACACTGGGCCCACCAATATCCATGAAAATATGCAAAGTCCCTTCTGTCATGCAAGGTAACATATTTACGAATTTAGAGGACCGGGATGTAGACAACTTTGGGAGATCATCATTCTGCCTGCCACACTAATCATAAACTGAGCCTAATGGTTCTAGGTAGGTTTGACTTACTTTCCCCACAGTACTCAATGGTTCTTTTGCTTTTTGTCCTAGGACTTCCTTGAGGCAATGAACTGGGAACACACTTGGCAGGATCCTGTGTGTAGCTAAGAGTAGAGGAGGGATGGGAAAGAATTTATACCACCCTGGGGCAACCATAAACTGACAGGGAGGAGAACAGATGATAATGGTTTACTCCTGTCCATCCATGAGTAGACAATATGAGAGCATCTAGATAGATCCTCAGAAATTCCCACTAGGACTGGGCCCTAGTTGCAACAGTAGTGAATAACTCTCGATAAAACATTCCTATATTAGCTTTTCTTTTCTTGTTTCATTCACCCTGGTCCCTTGTTCTTATTCCCTAAAATCATCTGCCAAACAACCTATCTGCACACAATTTCTTCCTTTTAGACTGTACTTCAGAGGAGAGTATGGGAAGGATAACTGGTTAAGAATATCTAGTAAAGAGTTTTAGACACAGAAAAGGGAAACACAATGACCTAAAATGAAGGCTATATACATAGTAGAGTATCTAATCTTGACACTATACTGCGTAACTTTGGGTCAAATCTCTTAACTCTTTTAAGTTTTACCAATTGTAAAATTAATGGCTCGAATGGCTCAACTTCCATTATTTTCGATAGCTCCTTTCAGCTGTAAACTTCTGACATAATAAACAGCATTATGAATTGGTGCAAGGAGACAGCAGAAAGGTGGGAGTGAGATTATCACTAAAGAGGCCAGCCAAAAGAAACTGTTAAAATAAGCCAGTCAGAAGGTAACATTGCCTAAATTTGAAAAGCCATGGAAAAATTAAAACCCTCATAAACTGCTGGTGGGATTGTAAAATAGTACAGCCATTTTGAAAAACAGTTCAGCAGTTCCTCAAGAGATAAAACATAAATTACCACAACCCAGAAATCCCATTCCTAGAAATGTACCAAGAGAAATTAAAATAAACAAGGTCTGTTTGGAAAAAAGTCCAACCATTGTCAATATTAACAATAACAGTTTGCAGGACATCAATGTAACCTGGCAGTCAAGGAGAGCGGACTGGAATGCGCATGTGTGAACAATGACAACTTCACTATACTAGTCAATGGGGGCAGTAGACACCATTGAGTGAGCACATGTACTGTGTGGCTGTTGCACTGACAATGACTGCGTAAGTAGAGCAATGACCTGCATCAAATTTTGCATTAAGCTTGAACATTCCTCTGTGGAAACTATTTGGATGATTCGGAAGGCCACATCTATGGGCAACCGGTGATTAGAAGCTTCATCACCACAACACAGCCCACTCAGACCAAGTTTTTGGCAAAACATCAAATCACCCAGGTAATACAGCCCCTCAACAGCCTAGATTTGGTAGTGCCCTGTGACTTCTGGCTTTTACCAAAACTAAAATCACCTTTGAAAGGGAAGAGATTTCAGACCATGGATAAGAATCAGGAAAATACAAAAAGGGAGCTGATGGAAATTAGGAGAATTATGTGAGGTCCCACAGTGCCTACTTTGAAGGAGACTGAGGCGCCATTGTCCTATGTACAATGTTTCTCATTATCTTGTATCTTCTTCAATTAATGTCTCTATTGTTCATATTACATGGCTGGATACTTCTGGACAGACACTGTATTCACATAAAAACATAAAATGATGTTGGGCATTTATATTACACCGTATAAAAAAAAAACACCTCAAAATGAATCAAAGACACAGAGTAAGAGCTAAAACTATAAAACTCTTAAAAGAAAACAGGGCAAAAACTTCATGACATTGGGTTTGGCAATAATTTCTTAGATCTGATACCAAAAGCACAGGCAACAAAAGAAAAAAAAACCATAAATTGGACTTCAAAAGTAAACTGTTTTATTCATGAAATAACATGACCATGAAATGTGATAATATTTGCAAGTTAATATATCTAATAAGGGATTACTACTGAGAATAAAGAACCCTTACAACAAAACAACAACAATCCCATTAAAACATGGGCAAAGGACCAGAATAGACATTTCTCCAAATAAGATGTACAAATGGCCAAGAAGCACAAGATGCTCAACATCATTATTGTTAGGAAAATACAACTCAAAACCTTAAAGAGATACCACCTCACATTCAATTAGGATGGCTATTAGCAAAAAACAAGCAGAGGAAAAAACTAGAAAATAACAAGATGCAGAAAAAGCAGAACACTTGTGCATTGCTGGTAAATGTAAAGTGGTGCAGACTTTGTGGAAAAGTTAGGTCATTCCTCAAAAATTAAAAACAGAATTACTATATGATTTATCATACTCAAAAGAAAGAAAAACAGGGTCTTCCATGGATATTTGCACACCCAAATTCATGTCGGCATCATTCACAATAGCCAAAAAGCAGATGGCACCAAAGTGTTCATCAAAAAATAAATGGGTAAGCCCTGGCCAGGTGACTTGGTTGGAGTATTGTCCCATTCACCAAGAGGTTGTGGGTTCAATCTCCAGTCAGGGCACATACCTAGGTTGCAGATCTAGTTCCCAGTTGGGACACTACCAGAGGCAATTTTCTCACATTGATGTTTCCATTTATCTGTTTCTTCTTCTCTCTCTTCCCCCTTCCACCCTTTTCCTCTCTCTCTAAAATCAATAAACATTATCCTCATGTGAGGAGAAAAAAATGAAATTAAAATAAATGGGTAAACGTAAAATATATAATCAATAGAATATTACCAGCCTTAAAAAGGTGTTTCAACATGTTACAAAATAGATAAAACATGAAGACAGAATGCTAAGTGAAATAAGTGAATCACAAAAGGACCAACATTGTATGATTTCACTTCTATGAGGTTACAAAATAGTCAAACACATAGAAACTGAATAGTGGTTGCCAGGGGCCAGGGGGATGGGAAAATGAGAATGGATAGACCAGGGGTGTCAAACTCATTTTCACTGGAGGCCACATCAGCCTCAAGGTTTCCTTCGAAGGGCTGGATGTAATTTCAACTCCTTAACAGTTAAGGAGTAGTTACATTTATACATTCCTAAAATTATTTTGGCCCTTTGAAGGCAACTGCAAGGCTGATATAGCCCCTGGTGAAAATGAGTTTGACACCCCTGGGATAGAGTTTCAGTTGAGGAACATGAATAAGTTCTGGAAATACATGGTGGTGATGGGTGCACAACAATGTGAATATATTTCAAGATATAGAGCTATACACTTAAAATGGTAAATTTTATGTT